TAACATATTTTGTTAAGCGTCAAAAGCTCAGTAGAGCAGTGTGTCACAGAACTGCTCAGTGTTTCATTGACTAATCTGGGAACTGCCACAGCAACAGGACCAGAGGTTTTTAGGTATTCAAAATTAATTAAATATTTTCTGACCTGTTTTTGCTCAGTAACATCTCTGTGTTTATCAGTGTCTTTCTCTTTATCTCTAACTCTCTCCTGGTTTACACATTAGCTCCTCTCCGCTCCTATCTGACTCCCTGTGCCCTGCTGCAGAGCAGTGACCCGCAGGTCAAAGTTCAGGGCCAAAATAAAACCATGAGAGCCACAGGGATATCACCCTGGTGTCACATCACATGCTGCCCTCTGAACTGGATCACAGCCATGCACATATGCAGTGACACACACATATAGGTGTATAAAATCTTTCCTTTACCTCCCAAATGTTCTTTTCACTGGGTATAAAACTATGTTCTTTTTAGCTTTACAACCACGTGTTTTAATATTTTCTTCATTTTACAGTCTAATGCTGTAAACCCCTCTCATGCACACACACACACACACACACACTCAGCCGAGCTGAGGCACTGGAGATGTGGAGACGCAGGCGCAGGTTCATGCAGGGTAACGCAGTTATTTTTCGCTCTCCAGTGGAAGCATTAGAAATGGAAAAGCTACTTATTAAAAGCAACTATTAGACTGAGCCAAATCTATTATGCGTCTGTGTTGCCCCGGCACCGTGACCTTTTAGTCCAAATGTTGATAGGCCTTAATTGTATTTAGCTGCTGTAATTCCACTAACAGTCTGACCCAGAGGCTAATCCAGGGCAGCCAGGCAGCGAACCGTGCTCTTTGCCAGCTGCCATTTGCTGAAGTGGCATTTTGAAAGTCGCAGCTGAAATGTCCCATGGTACCTCTGTTTGCATGCACTTTCCTCCTCTCCCTCATTCTCGTGCCCTCATTTCATGCCCTACCTACACGGGCTGCTGTTTTGTCTTGGGTTTTAGGGATTTGTAGCTTTTTTTAGTGCTTTTTCTGCCCTCAATTTGGAATCTAAGTCACTTTTGTTTTTGTCAAGAAAAAACAACTTGTAGTGTATTTTTCTTCCTTTTCTAGCTGTTTTCCCTTCTTGTTGTCAGATGATAAGCTCAGTCAGTTGCATTAAGATATAAGCCACAGTGCACCAATTAAAAAGCAGGAAACAGATTATAGCAGACACCCAAATCTGACTTTATACTCCCACCCCCCTGTCATTCTCTATCTGTCCGTCTCTGACCCTGGTTTCCTTTTTTTCCCTTATCCTCAGGCATCTGCTTCTCTCTAATGTCATTTCTGTCTCTTTGGCTCTCTGTTGCTGCCCTCCTCTATGTCAAGATACTACATCTCTGTCTCTACACTCTGTCTCTCTTTCTCTCTATAGCTTTGGACCTTTCCATAATCACCCCTCTTTCTCTCTCTCTCTCTCCCTTCTCCTTTCCCTCTTTGTTTCTCTCTCCCTCAGTCTCGTCAGCCAGCTGTAGGCGAGGAAAAACAGAGAGCGATGTGTCTCAGTCGGACGTACTTGACTGCTCTGCCTCTCAGCCACGAGTGACCCCCACAATGAGGCTTTTGAAAAGTCAAGTGGATCAAGTAGATTTGCCACCATCTGCAGGATTAACCACTAATCAATATGAGAGCAGATTAATAGCTGTGAAATCACAAATCAGCCACATGAACAGGGCCCCCGACAGGTTGCGGAATTTGTGGCACGTCATTGAATTTTTGATGAATTTGATAAATTGTCCATGGAGGTCAGGGACACTGTGTTTCAAAGCCTGTTCAGTGCATCAGTGAGAAGACCAGAAGTAGTGGAAACCAGACTGTAGAAGTTTCCTTTTTGGATGAAGCACGCTAACAAGCTTGGACAGGGTGACAGTTTGAGGTCGTGGAAGTGCACAGACTTAGATATGGACAGTCAGGGAAGAGTCTTTCGAGACTGTCTTCCCAAGGAATGCATTCAACTGAAGCATTTCAGCAAGTGGCCCCAAACAACACCTGTTTACATTAAAGCATCTAAGCCCTCTAGTGGCCGGAGGAAATGTGACTGTTGTCCACCGTGAGCAAAGCAAAGCAGGAGGTCAGGTGACACTGATGTAGACTGACAAAGTCTGTGTGGGGAGGAGATCTGGGACTCCTCCCAAAATAAATGTTAACACAGGAGGCCGCTGTTGGTTTCAGCCAACATTAGTTTATTTTGACCATGATGATCGCTCCCTAACTACGTAGTTATTATTGTTGTGACCACGACGATGAACCCTAACTCTGCGCTCAAACCTAACCAGACCTTAACTATAGAGGTGTCAAATCATAAAACAGGTTTATTTCGTCAACAGTGATCTGTAGCAGTTTTGGAAGGCACACCTGATGTCCGTGCTGATAGGGACAACTCGTTGAGTCTCTCTCAAACCTGCATCACAGTAACTTCTCTGACTGACATCAACAGCACTGCACGGTTTAACAGTCTTTCACCTCACACACCGAAGTGCCTGAAGAGAACATATTTGTCCATATTTGTGGCCTTGCTCTCTGGACTGCTCTCAGCGTCGCCTCTCAGAGCTGTGTTTCTTTCACCTTTTGATCGTGAAATCCTGCAAAGACAAGACACGTGTGGCTAATCTGACAGCTGTCCTCTGCAGAGCAAGACAAGAGCTGCAGGAGCGCCAGTGACAAGGAATGTCCCGTTGTGCAACGTCGTCTTTGTGACAGGCAACACCTCCTCATAGCTTAGCCCAGCGAGACCGCGCTGTTTGCCAAAGGAGACCACATTCTTCTCCGGGAACACGGGTTGACACAAGTTCACAGGGAAAACTAGTAGTTTTGAGGTCAACACCTTTTGTGCAGAGGTATTTTTTCGACACGCAGGACAGGCTAGAATTAGGGGCAATTTTATAATGCTCTTGAGTGATTTGACCCCTCGTTTTTCAGACGTGCCACAGTGCGTTCAATTGACACAGCTGCTGCGTGTGAGGTGACAGGTGATGCAGAGTTAAAAGCATTTTCCAAACCCCCTCCTTCTCCCTTTTCTTTCACCCCTCTCTCTCCACCTCCTGCCTCCACCTGTCTCTTTATGTAAACCACTGCTCTCTGTCTGAAGACTCATCTCAGGCTATATTCAAACCGATTGAACTCCCCCCCCCCACTTTTCTCTGCCCTCAATTCTCAACTTATCACCTCTCACTCTTTACTTCTCCACCTTATCTCACCATTTCACCCTTTTACCTCATTTTTTTTCCCTCACATGTGCCCCCCCCCC